ATAAATCGAGGAAAACTTCATCAATAGAGAATTTAAGAGGTGTTGTGTGAAATAATTCTGAATTTCCATTAAAATCCAATTATAGCCCTTAAACCTTTTTCGATCTACTATGCAAATGAGAAAGATTAGGGATAAAATAATCAATAAAAATCCGAAGCGGAATGATTAAAATAGAGCATGCGACATGTATGGAGTTCCGTGCAAACGATATGGATACTAAGGCGAATCCCCCAGTAATAATCTTAAGCTTAATTTTGATCGATTTTAAGATATTATAGATGATTTCCCACCCATAAAGTAAAGTGAGTAATATGCAAATAATAAACAGAAATTATCTCTCTGGATCTAAATATATACATCAAAACAGTGTGCTTGTAAGGTAGGGAGGTGAAACGAAATAGGTTAAATAAATCTCGTATAAAGAAAAAAAAGTTAGTAAGGACGTATGATAAACCTATCAGGAACCACTCTGAATGAAAAAAGGTAAGAGAAGATAATGCCAGAAATAACAATAGCCATGCATTTTTAAAAATAATATTTGGATTGTGTATACTTGACAAGGCTGAAAAGAATCGTAGATAAGTATGAGGTTAGGTGAAATCATAACAATGGTAAATAAGCATGAGCTCAGAGCTTCGAATCATACCGGAAAAAGAAAAGAGCAGCAAAAAACACTTTCTGGGGCATAAATAATTTAGAATCAAAATAATCAAAAATGAAAATTAATGTTCCCAATTGAAGGATATACACCTCTCTGGATAATATAAATAGTAGGGATTTAGATGAAAAAATTAAGTCTTGTGAGCCATAGAATCACATAATAATATGAGAGGGACTTGTAGGGGGAAAGGAATTGAACAAATATAATCTGAAAATATTAAGACCAAAAATATCAATACTAAACCTTTTTCGGAGTAAACTTCAAGGAAATCACCAGCGGCCATGGAAAACTGGATGTTTTTCGGCAAATCAGAAGGAGAAACATCAGGGAATCGAACGCTTGCTAACTGGTCCTTGCGAGACAAAATATTACAGGACTGTGACACCCAAGGATAGAGTGTATAAGAGTCAATATTACGGCAACTAAAGTAGTATAATAAAGAGGAAGACAAAATTAATAAACTATAGTAAAACTATATAATAGAAGACTGGTATGGGGATAAATATTTAATATAGATATAGGCTTGGAATGAAATGTAAAGTGCTAAACAGCTACAGAATATAGTTAATTCACCTAAACATAGAATTAATAGGGCTTACGAATTGAGGATGAAATATGCTGGGAGAAGCATGTGTAAACTGAACTCATTGCCTTGGCAATTAAAGCCTAAATGAGCGATTTCCCATGCGAGACGTCCAAGCCCAGCACCAGGCACTAGTATATGAAGAGTGGATCTAAAATGAGAATAAGGCGAACATACCTATCTTTTTCTTTATATATATCGACTAACTCGTTTAGAACAGGTTTATAACAAGAATCTCGTTCAGCTTGCCCCTCAGATGACCAGTCGCGGACAAATTGCTTTAATGTTGATCGAACTTTATCCATATCCCCAGAGGTAACTCCGTATGGGTTATTAATAATTGACGCCTCCTTATCAGTGCCATTAATAGCCTTTCCCTGATCGAAAGAGAACTAAACTTAAATGTTATCGAGGAGAGAGTTTACGGGATGATCATCAAATATATTTGAGGAAATATTTCGCAGAACTTTGCTTATTAATTCACTGTTATGGATGATACAAGATTTGATTTTTTCAACAGTATCAGGATATTCGTTGACTAGCTTCTTCTGGCTTTCTGGAAGACGTGAATAATAGTCAGAGCCTATCTTCAGCCTATGAAGCATATGTTTCCTGATGGTATAAAATAGTTTTTATTAGTTACTTGTAAAGTTTGAACGATGCAACCGTTTTTTCAAAATACCTCTGCTCAAGATCGATGAGATCAGAGCAGGTCTCCTGAGAAGCCA